TCTGCACGGTGGACTTCCACCACTTGCCCACTTGCCTCTGCCTAAACGTGAGCAACCTCGAAAGGCCACCACCGGGCCCTTCTAGAAGGCCGTGGACTTGGCCTTTCTGTCCTGTCGCAGCTACGACCTTGACTCTTCAGGAATGGACTAGCAACGACCTTGACCTTTCAGAAAAGTTGTGGCTACGACCTCTAAGCCTGGCTAAGACTCCTAACTGACAGGTCTACAGATCAAACCCATGCTACCTACGGTCCCTACGACGACTTGTCAGCTATTACAAATACACAGGTCGCGGGTTCAACTCTACGGGTCGACACAGGTAATGTACACAGGTAAGGTGGGGTCTAGGGATCGAACCCTGGGATCTGCGACAGCTACTGCGAACTGGTGAATACTGTTTCATGAGCCCTCGTATCCGAGATACCATAGGCTGGTCAATCTGCGTCAACACTACATATTGACTCAGCCCCTGCTCATTGACATGCAGTCTTGCACTTGCTGCTCGACGCTGGCATGACGCTGGCACGACGCTGGCTGGACGCTGGCTTGACAATGGCACTACGCTGGCATTGGGTGTGATGACGACTCGAGACTGCTGCATTGTGTTGCTGGCGCATCTCTGCTCTTGGGCGCCAGCTGTAGACTTGATTGCTGGCGTGGCGCTAGCCACATTGTCTTCAACTCAGATTGGGGAATCGACGAGGAGGGAGATCAGGGCTGATGCAAGACTCGGTGCCGCAGCTGATAAGCTTTAGTGTTTCTGCATCGCGAAGCGTGAGACCTCCTATGTAAAATTCTGACGCGCGATCGTTTGCATCGTGAAGTGTGAGACGTCCGATGTAAAAGTCTGATGCGCCTGATGCGGCGCGCCTGACGCATCTGACGCATTTGGCGTTTGTTTTTTTCTCGGGCGAGTCCGGTTTCGTTTTGTTTTTGTGTTCTCTTTTATGCTTTGGGCCTCGCTGCACTACTCTTGAAATACGGACGGATACACGGTCATGATTTTTGTTTTTTGTGGATGTCTAGACACAATGTAAAATTATGATGCGCGATCGTTTGCATCGCGAAGCATGAGACGTCCGATGTAAAATATGATGCGCCTGACGTGGCGTGCCTGAAGCGGCGCGCTTGACGTGTCTGACGCGCTTGGCGTTTGTTTTTTTCTCGGGCGACTCTGGTTTTGCTTCGTTTTTGCGTTCTCTTTTATGCTTTGGGCCTCGCCTCACTACTCTTGAAATACGGACAGATACACGGTCATGATTTTTGTTTTTTGTGGATGTCTAGACGCGTTTGGCGTTTGTTTTTTTCTCGGGCGAGTTCGGTTTCGTTCCGTTTTTGC